ACTTTAATTTTTAACCTGAAATTTGATACCAAAATAATTTTGGCGTAGTTTGAAAGTGTTGCATGTAAAAAAAAAGTATGAAAACGTAAGTGGCCAGCTATTTTAAAAAAGTGCGCAGCTCATACAGCTTACAAAATGGTATCATACATCTTTTTATCTAATACCACTACGAAGTTATTGCTATTGAGATGCAAAAAGAGTAAATACGTCTAAAAATAAAAAATAAGTCTTAATAAATTTTAATAATAATAAAAAAAATCGGGTGTACATAAATCAAGCTTTATTCACAATAGGTGTTCAAGCTGTCTGCCACCGACTCTAATACACGCTCGACATCTTCTATTAGAGGCTCTACTAAGATAACGTCCATAGCGTCGTTCATTTGGAACGGTCAAAATGGGACCCAAACTACCAATCCATTTATTTGGATACGTGGCATTTAAATAAGAAGGGACTTTTGTACCATAATGTGCAGGGCAGCCATCATTCTGTAGCCAATGGGATTCCCTTACCTTCTCAGGCACTTTTTCCACTAAGTTCAGGAGATCATTTTGCAAAAAATTTAAATAACTATGAGAAGATAAATTTACCGGCAGTTCGAAAGGACAAATAATTATCCCGTTCAATATACCTGTCCAATAAAACTTAATAATTGATCATGCCAATACTCAAGACATTGTGCTTGACGAAATTCAGCAAGACCCCTCTGTAAGAACAATATCACGGCGTACTGGAATCCCGAAAACGACCGTGTACCGTGTACTGAAAATAAATAAATATCATCCTTACGATATTAGACGCGTCCAAGCTCTGCAACCGAGAGATGCAAGATTGTTTTTTTGTCGGCAAATGCTTGCAAAAATAGAAGAAGATCCCCAATTCTTTGGAAAAATTCTATGGAGCGACGAATCTACTTTAAAAAAAGACGGATACTTTAATATTATGCATAATATGCACAGCTGACAACTCTCGAATCCAAATTTAATGCGAGAAGAGAGGTCGCAATACCAGTTCAAAGTAAATTATTGGACTGGTATATTAAACGGGATAATTATTTGTCCTTTCGAACTGCCGGCAAATTTATCTTCTCATAGTTATTTAAATTTTTTGCAAAATGATCTCCTGGACTTAGTGGAAAAAGTGCCTGAGAAGGTAAGGGAATCCCATTGGCTACAGAATGATGGCTGCCCTGCACATTATGGTACAAACGTCCCCTCTTATTTAAATGCCACGTATCCAAATAAATGGATTGGTAGTTTGGGTCCCATTTTGACCGTTCCAAATGAACGACGCTATGGACGTTATCTTAGTAGAGCCTCTAATAGAAGATGTCGAGCGTGTATTAGAGTCGGTGGCAGACA